TTTTAATACATTAATACATTTATTTTAATACTCAAAGTGTTTAACAAATTCTAATACAAAGTGACGCGGAGTAGCTTGTTGTTCCGTGACTAGAACTCATCTGAATTGTGGTCATTTTGATCCCTCTTTTATATGGATTGATTGACGCCATTGGTCTTGTTGTTTCGGCAATACTCAGCAATAGGCCTTGCTCTTTTGACCTAATTCACTATTCTAGGAATACGGATTAACAGTTTATTATATCTTGTTATTTCGGCAATACTTTGTGATAAGCCTTGTCCGTCTGACCTACTTCATTATTCTAGGAATCAATTTTATTACATCTCTTAATATTCCTACTCGGTTTATGACCAATTAGTTAAATATAACGATGTGTAATACATATAATATTGTGATACGCACGATTTCTATTTATACGTGGTTCCAGGAATATGGTAGCCCATAACAATATGCAGAATCTCCCACTGCCAGTTCTTCCAGTACAAGAAGTTTTTTATTTTCGTCAATTATGGGTGTATGCATTTCGTGTTCATAACATGAAAACTGCAAAAGCAACCTTCTATTCCTACCACGAGGGTCAAGCACTCAAGGGTCCTAACGAAGTGACATCGTTTTTAAATGATTATATTCGTGCCAACGTTCCTAAAGAAACAACAGAATTACATTTATTTTATGACGGCTGCCCTGGTCAAAACAAAAACAATACGATGATTAAGTTTTTATTGTCACTGTCAGTAAGTCTTAATTTGAAAATTAAAATTATTTTCCGCAAAGAGGACATTCTTTTAACGATTGTGACAGAGATTTTGCGACCGTAAAGCGTAAAATTAAAAGAGAAGATCGGTTGTTCACTCATCAACAATATGTAGATTTAATACTAAGCAGTACCGCGAACAAGAAGTTTAATGTCAAAACCATTACATATTCTGACGTTATAGACTTCAAATCATGGTGTTAAGTTAATTTTAAAGCCAAGCCACTGTCGGAAAGATGTTACGGGAAAAAAGTGGACAAAAAGGATAGTTTCATTTCAAGTGTCGACTTTTTTTGAATTTATATTTGACCCAATGAAACCAGGTGAATTCTTGTGTCGTCCCTTTTATTGACAATGAAATAAATAATGAAACTTTTATCCTATCAAAAACAAAAGGTTGTTGTGCAAGCATCCCTACTATTGAATCAATTCCTTGCTACTCCTCTAAGCTTCCAATTAATATATTAAAAATGAATGATCTACAGAAGTTAAAGCACATACCAGACGATTTCATACATTTCTATGAAAGCATTTTGCAGTGGCCGACAGATGTATCAGCACAGCTAGACGTCGAAGAAGAATTTTGAAGTACACGAAAATACTAATTTATTCATTATTTTTTTTGTTTTATTATAAAATTCATAAAAATAAAAGGACATGGATAAGAAATATTTTTTGTATAATTTTATCTCAATAATATGGGTATTTTCAATTTTAAATCACTATAGTTCTCACACAAATTTTGAAAAGGACTCGTCTCGGAAAACTTAATGAATCACTTTTGCAATAAAATTTCACTTCTAGAATATTATATTACAAAAGCTTAACATTAGATAATAGTTTGTAATTTTAGAGAAAAAAATGGTATAATAAAAAAAGAAATTAAAAATTCAATCAGTTTTTTATGTTTCCTGAAAAATTTTAATTTTTAGATATGAGCCCTTTTCAAAATTCCCAATTCCCAGTTTTTTTATTTCTCTGTTTTCCAATTATTGGAAAACAGATAAATAAAAATTTTGAACCCCCCCCCTAAAAAATTCCTGGGTACTATTCCTATAGCTCATGTTCCTGTTATTCATTCGAGTGAATAAATAAAAATACAAGTACTAAATCGAATTAAATATTTATTTAATAAATGTAGTGTAGTGAGTTTGTATTATACAGTGGTATAAAACTGTATTATACTAGGTATTATACATATGGTATAAAATTATTTTATATATACAGTATAAAAGAAAAAATGAAAGCGTTATTTTTAGTAACTCAAATATTAATTTTCTAGTTGTACTTATAAAATGGATCTCCAATAAAGTACAATATTATTATAAACATTAATAATATACAATATTATTGTAATCGTGTTAATTTAGAAATCAGGTGTTAAAAATGACTAAAATAAATTTATTGTACTATTATAATATTCAAATATTGTAAATATATAGGTATAATGAGATAGTATCTCACTATAAAAGTAGTAAGTAAATCTATTTCTATTTGCAAAATATGTATTTCTATGTATAAAATATATACGTATGTTACCTATACCATAATTGTAAATCGTTAGCATGACTAAATATTAATTTGGTGAATAATTTTTGTATTATGTGTTTTTAAATTTATTCTAACTTTTTAGCCATTTCTTCAATTATTCCATTTTAAAATAATTTATATTTCATAATTAACAATGGGCTTTGTTGAATTCCTTATAATTTAAAGTACTGCAAGGTTCTATACGGTATTATACAAAAAATAAATAAAATACCGTATTTTAACATCTCTAAATAAATGTATTTAAAACCTAAAAATAAGTATTAATAATAAAAACACAAATAGTTCTTAAATTAAAATTGTACCTTCAGTCTGAATCCTGTATAAAAAAACAACAAATTATCATAGTAGTAATAGTCCTATTAATTATTTTTTAAAAACTTTAAAAAAACAATTAAGATAGGTAACTTAATTTAACAAGTATCTAAGTAGAAAACAAAAGGTTGTAAGTAGTCAAATAATAAATTCCAAATTTCTTTTTTTCATTTTGGCATATAGTCGGTTATTATAATTATTATTTGGATCAGGAACTTCTAGCTCTATAAAATATACAAATATGCAAGCATTTGTTCACAAAAAAATGACTAAATACCTATGCACAACAAAAAGTGCCAGATGTTATGTTGTAAAAAAAAAATTAGACGAGTAAAATTATTAAGTACTTATACAGCTCTAATAAATACAAAAATATACAATATGCATAAATGCACCAAAAAATGACTAACTAGTAAATACGTGGTAAAATAAGTGTTACTTTACATTATCTCATAAATACTTCGGTTATGGTTGTAAATGTCTATAACCGTAACAATATCCGTGGAAGATAATACCAATATTTGTTACACAACCAAAAATGTTAAGATATAAGAAGATAAACAAAAATGATTCCTGTGACCTAATTGACAAATTATATTATTGAATTTATTATCATACTATAGTGATAGACTAGTAATTTATATTCTTAATTAATTATACATTAAATTTTTTAAATAAATCTATATATTATATTTAAAAAAAATACGAGACATGAGGGAACGAATGCCCACTTCGCCACCCTTATTAAATCGCCCTTCTGCAATATTACTTACAAAAAACTAAAATTTAATAAATGTGTAAGCACATATATTCTTCACATAAGTTATTCAATTTTCTTATACATATTATTCACATTAGGGTGTGCCAAGTCACACCCCATAGAGCCGCCTATGAATACATATTTATTTATTTAATATAATGTATACTTCATATAATAAATAATATAATAAAATATAATGTAATTGTCGTGGTCCGTTGATATACGGCACGACCTTCGGTGTAGATGGAGGTGAATCAGAGCAAAAAAAAAAAAAAAACAACGATGACGGTGGTATTGGCCGGTGGGCCTTATATTATTCGCACAAACACTAATGCAAAATATTCGATGGTGGAATAATAAAATTTCGGTGGCACGGGACGCACCGAGTGTAACAAACGTCAAGTGAACAAGAAAAAAAAAAAACAAAGTTGAGAAACAAAAAAAATAAATTATGAAATGTAACAAAAAAAATGACGTGAGGATGTCGAAACAAAAAGGTCCGTTCGAGAACACGATGTTCTAAGAACAACCCGACCGGACCGGTTGGGTCGTATTCCGTGCGGGCGTCGTCGCGACCGTTCGCATCCCCTGTCCATCGATGGATTGAGAAAGGACGGGTGTCGCGGCGGCATTGCGTGCCGCGGTCTGGTGGTTGATGAGAGAGACATAGGTGCGGTCGGCGGCAGACGTTTCGATAACGGCTGCCGCGCGGGTCCGCGTCATATATAATATAATAATAATATATATATTATATTTTATATTAGATTGATAAGTTATAATTAGTAAAATACAAAATAAATATTTTTTATTAAAACAATATGTTGTATTTTAATTACTATAGTAAATGATTATATTAAACAAATAACATTTTTTCATTTTAAAACAAAGTAAATCAACAATTCCTATGTATTTAGAAAAATAATTCTTAATATGCAGATATAAATGTATATGACATAGTATATACTTGGATTCGGGGTAAGAGCTAAGACTAAAGTAGTTAATGATCTGTTCACATATTTCTTTTTTTTTTTAACTATACATTTTTACAATGTCTCTCTCATTTAAAGTTTTCTTTCCATTAAAAATAAAAAATTACAAATCAATCTATGTATACTAAAAAAAATAATAGAATAGGTAAGTTATTTTAATTGCACAAATTAAGTGACATGACAAATAACTTATATCTGAAGTATTCGCACCGTGATCTATTCTTTAAACACTGCGTTACGGTAGAGAGTGAGAGTATTAATTATAATTAAAACAAA